GAGCTGATACCAAGGGCTCAAGTAGAAAGAAAATATTTTGAGAATGATGAGGGCAACAAATGTACAAATGTGCTTGACACAATGGATGTATGTATGGATTATGAAAAGAGTTGTATGAGTCCCCAATAAAATGATTTAAAAAATAGTAGGGGGAGGAAATATTAACGAACTAGAGGATAGTTATGACTTTCATCAGTGCTATACTGCAGCCTGGATATATCATCCCTTCCATGTGGCCCTTCTGTGGGACTGTCCAATTATCTTACAGGTGGGTTTTGGGTCTGCACCTTGTTTACACGCCTTCAGGCCAATTTGATTATTTGTGCTTGAACTTCCGATACCTATTCTCATCGATACCTAGTGATCACACAGGATGGTGTGCTTCTTCCATGTGGGTTTTGTTGCTTCCTTGATAGATGGCAGCTTATTGTGACATATGCTTAACTTTTGGAGGAACTACCAAACTATCATTTAGTTTGCAACTCATCACCTCTAAGCTTAATAACTTAAGACAGTAGCCATTCGCTTAGCTCACAATATTGGGGATTGGGGTCTGGGTCAGCATTTTGGCTGGGCTCAGCTGGGTGGTTTTCCTGGGCTTGACTGCTCATTCGTGGGCTTGCAGTCAGTTGGCAGCTCAGCTAGGGGATGACATGTCTAGGCTGGTCCTTCATCCTCCAGCTCTATCTCATGGCTGACAAGGCTTCTGAGGTCTAGGTTCAGAACAGGTGCCCCCTTGTACCACATTCAGATGGTCAAAGGAAGTGGCAAGGCTGCCCAGTGGGGTAGGGGGAGGGCAGGGAATAAATCCCATAGGTTGGGGGGAGGAGTTAGAGAGTCACCGTGCAGAGGGGTGGGTTCTGAGAGGGGTGCCTAACTGTCCATTTTTGCAATCTGCACTACCTGAGCCTGGATGGAGCTGGGAATGACGCTGGGGGTGGGGCTCTGCTCCCCCTCCGCACCCTGCCTCTCTCTCCCTGCAGGCCTCTTTAATGGTGTGAAGCTGGTGGTGGAGACGCCTGAGGAAACCCTGTTCACTCACCGAGGGGCCAATGTGACCCTACCCTGTCGCTACCATTATGAGCCGGCCCTGGCCTCCCAGAGGCCTGTGCGCATCAAGTGGTGGAAGCTTTCGGAGAACGGGGCTCCGGAGCAGGACGTGCTGGTGGCCATTGGGCAGAGGCACCGCTCCTTTGGGGACTTCCAAGGCCGGGTGCACCTACGGCAGGGCGGGCAGCGGGAAGTCTCGCTGGAGATCCGGGCGCTGAGGTTGGAGGACTCCGGGCGCTACCGCTGCGAGGTCATCGACGGGCTGGAGGACGAGAGCAGCCTGGTGCAGCTGGAGCTGCGGGGTGAGAGCTACGTGGGACCGGCCACCGGGGCGAAGGTGGGGGGCGTGGGGGGTGGTGGTGGTGGGGGGGCGGGGCTGAGCCTGCTGCACTCCACTCCGCTCCTCCTAATCCCATCCAGAGAGGGAGCTAATCTCACAGACAGCAGCGGGCAGGGCTCAGGCAGGGTTTGCGGGCAACTGGGGGATGATGGGGAGCCGTGGTGGGGAGCCTGCTCTCAGCCCGCGATGCTTCTCTGGAATGCGGGCTGAGTGCTGACAGATTTCCTGACATTTCATGTAACAATCGCCTGTGTTTTAGAAAATGTGGCACTGTCTAAACCAGCAAGATCCTGCACGCCAGAGCTTGTCCATGGGCTCCCCTTTGAAGTTTCTCAAAGGCTTCCCTTCTCTGTCTCTGGGCGCAGCTGTGCGTTTTCCTGTCTCCTATCTGTGAGAGAGGCCAGGGACAAAGCTGAAACCTCAGGGGTCAGATGACCTGGGTGGAACTCATCTTGCCCCTCCCTTCAGGAGCCCTGGTAGCACAGTGGCTTAAGCATTAGGCTGCTAACTGCAAGGTCTATGGTTCAAATTCACCAGCTTCTCCGCAGGAGAGAGATGTCCACTCCCATAAAGCCTTGAAGTTTTGGAAATTCTATGGGGTGGTTCTACTCTGCCCCATAGGGTGGCCACAGGAATCTGATGGTGGGTTTGGAATTTTACCTGTCCTCACTGTGGTACTTGGGCAGATGCTCTGACCTGTGGGTGCCTCAGTTCTCACATGTGAAATGACCCTCAGAGAAGATGAGGGTCAGGTGGGCTTCCAGTGCCTAGCTCTAGAAATGGCTGAGTTCAAAATGTTTTACTTATCCCAAGTTAATCTGTTTGTTTATGAGTTATAGGGAAATGTCAACCAGGAACAGTGAGTTTTGAGGGGTGCCCGTGCTCCTAGCTGACCCTGGCCTGTAGGAGGGAGTCCCCTGGCCCAGGAACTCGATGACATTGGCTTCCTTTTGGTTTCTCCATGACACCAGGGCCTGGGCCAGCTGCCCACTCCCCGCAGCTCCCAGAGCAGTGGTTCTCAACCTTCCTAATGCCGCGACCCTTTCATACAGTTCCTCATGTGGTGGGGACCCCCCAACCATCAAATCATTTTCGTTGCTACTTCGTCACTGTCATTTTGCTACTGTGATGAATTAGGCAACCCCTGTGAAACAGTCATGCGACCCCTAGGTTGAGAACCACTGTTCTAGAGCTTCTCCTTCCCCCCAAAATCACCAGCTGAAGGGGGAAGTTTCTTGCACGCCCCAAAGAAGCTTCCACCCTAGGGCTAACATGGACCCCCTGGTCTCAGACACGGAGAGGGAGCTGCTGCCAGACAGATAAGAGCACCCCTCGCTGGGTCCTGGCAAGAGCCCATGGGTTGGGACACTGGCCAGATGATGAACGCCTCCCCTTAAAAATGGAATAAAAGTTTCCGAGTATTTCCCAGCCTACTTCTAGTAGTGGGGGTAAAGCAGATGTGGCCTCTGGCTTGGATATGGGGAACTCTGAGAAGGGACAGGCATGTTTACCGAGGGACTGTGTGTGTATATTATAAAGAGAGAGAGATGGAAGGGTACATACCTAGGGGAAGTGGGGGGCATTGAGGTCTCCCACCCACCCCCTGCCCACCCCTCTAAGCTCCTCTGGTCCTTTCCCAGGTGTGGTCTTTCCCTACCAGCCCCCACAGGGGCGCTACCAGCTCAACTTCCATGAAGCCCAGAGGGCCTGTGAGGAGCAGGATGCAGGCCTGGCCTCCTTTGAGCAGCTCTTCCAGGCCTGGGAAGAGGGCCTGGACTGGTGCAATGCGGGCTGGCTGCAGGACGCCTCCGTGCAGTACCCCATCATGCTGCCCCGGCAGCCTTGCGGTGGCCTGGGCTTGGCGCCCGGCGTGCGCAGCTATGGCCAGCGCCACCGGCTCCTGCGCCGCTACGACGCATTCTGCTTCGCCGCTGCCCTGAAGGGTGAGTACAGGGGCTGGGCACGGGGCTGGTGGTGGCCTGCGACCTGTACGGGGCAGCTTCTGGGCCGTGCCAAGGCCTGGAGCACCAGGTGGGCCTGGCAGTGATGCCGCCGGAGCGTTGAGTGCTTTGCTGCAGATTATTCATGATGATCTTTGGCCCATTCACCCGCCGCCAGACACACAGTGCCTGCTGTATGCTGGGACTTGCACGAGGCCCAGGGTCAGCACAAATTAATCTGTCTGTCCTCCCAAGTGGACCCCAGGGGGCGTTGTGGATTAGGCATTGGGCTGCTGACCACAAGGTCAGTGATTCCAGCCTACCAGCCTCTCCTCAGGAGAGAGCGATCAGATGGTACTCTTTCTCCCAGAAAGCCTCAGTGCAGAGATCTGCTGTAGAACGGCCTGTACGGTAGTGGGTTTGGTCTTGGTCCTCAACAGGCCGCAGATTTCAGGGGAAGATTGGGGAGGGGGAACTATTGGCTCGGCGCTGCATCCAGGCGTGTCAGAGGTGTTGGGCGCGTGGGCTCTGCTCGTTGTTCTCGAGCCAGGTCTGGCTCCCAGGGACCCCGGGTGTGCAGAGGACAGCTGCCCCAGGGGTCCTCACCGCTCAGCAGCAGGTCGCCAGGCCTGGCTTTCCAGGCGCCTCGGGGTGTGTTCAAACCACCGAGCTTTCCGCTCCTAGCTGCGCACTGAACTGTTTGAGCCAGCCAGCAGCTCTGGGCTGATCGCCAGTGCAGATGGGTTGTTGGTCAGGGGAGGGCAGACACAAGCGAAGGGTCCCAGCCCTGTGGCGGGTGGGCCGGAGCTCTCAGAGAGGGGCAATGCCTGCCTGGCAAGGCATCCTCAGAGCATCCACTGCACAAGCCCGCAGCCTGGGGGCTCCCTGGCCCAAGCAGCAGCGGTCAGGTCACAGGGGGCTAGTGGCATTTGCATGGGCCCTCTGACCACTTGGCACTCCCACCCCTTTCTCGGCAGGACGGGTATACTACTTGGAGCACCCTGAGAAGCTGACCCTGACAGAGGCCAGGGCAGCCTGCCGGCAGGACGGGGCCCAGATCGCCAAGGTGGGCCAGCTCTTTGCTGCCTGGAAGTTCCAGAGTCTGGACCGCTGTGATGCTGGCTGGCTGGCAGATGGCAGCGTCCGCTACCCGGTGGCTCACCCCCGCCCCAACTGCGGGTCCCCTGAGTCTGGCGTCCGAGACTTTGGCTTCCCAGACCCCCAGAGCCGCAAGTATGGGGTCTACTGCTACTGCCAGCGCTAGATGCCAGGTCACCAACCTGTCCCTGCCTGTTCCCTCACTAGCTGGGGATTTATTGAGGGGTTCATTTACCCTTGAGGGTTAGGGCGATTTTAATATTGTTTATATACTTTGCAACTTAAAGACATTTTTAAAGTATATTTTTTGTAAACCCAGAAGAACCCAGGCCCTCACTCTGCTCTGTACATACCTCTAAGTCTTTCCCCTGACAGGTCCGCCTGCCCCTCCTCCAGGATATTGGACGTTTGGGGGCTTTTTAAAAACTCCTGTCATCACTGAAAGGAGTCCTGGTAGCAGTGTCGGGTAAACGTTGTCCGGCTACCTGAGAGGTCCGTGGTTCAAACCCACCAGTCGCTCCAAGGAAGAACAATGAGGCTATCTGCTCTCAGAAAGATTTACAGCCTCAGAAACCCTGTGTAGGGTCGCTGTGTGTCAGACCTGATGCCGGGGCATCTGATTTACTTGATTGTCATAGAACCTGGCCCTTTCCCTGCCACGGGGCAGTGTTACACGGGGCGTGGCCTGTCCAAGGTGCCTCAGGGAGTGTGGGCGAGGGGAGGGTAGACCTGGGCCCTGCCTCCCACACAGTGGCTTTAGCCTTGGCTTGGAGGAAGGAGGGCTTCCTGGGCGGTGGGCTCTAGAGTGGTCTTTGGCCTTGCAGCTTCCTGCCCCTCACAACAGCCCCTGGGTACCACAGGCGACTGGGGGTCCCTCAGCTTCCACTTGGAATCCAGCTCTGCCCTGCCCCTCTCCCCTCCTGTCTTGGTTCCAAAGTAAGGTGACCAGACTCTAACATTGGCAAAGCGGGACAAAAGCAGGACACCATTGATACAACTCATATCCTGGCAAAGTAGCCACATGGCAGCCGAAAACCGGGACTTTTTTAAAACACCGCGGGACGTGGGAAAAATTGTTAAAAATCGGGACTGTTAAAAAGCAGGACATCTGGTCACCTTATTCCAAAGAGCCTGTGTTTTGTTCTCACTTTTCCCCATTTGGGGAGTATCCCTCAGGTGTGTGTGTACTTTCTTTGGACAATAAATGGTGCTGTGACCTTTCTTCTCCCATGTCTCCTTCTGGGTCTGGCCACAGCTTCCTGGTCAGTCAGCTCCATGGGGGCAGTTCCCTCCCAAGCTCCACAGGATGGCCCACTCCCCAGACAACGTTGGAATCCTAATTCCTATGGCTGTGGACACAGTCCTGTTTGGGAATAAAGCTCTCTCATGCTGGTGAGGTCACAACAGTGTAGACGTGCTTTACATTTCTTCACTGTTTAGCTATGACAGGAGACCAGGCCCAGGAGTCCCCACAGGGTGTGGCTCAGACAGCGACGAGGGCTTCAGCCCCCCAGAGGCACCTCAGAAGAAAGGCCTGCAATCGGCTTCCAGAAGGCCATGGCCTTGAACGTCCCATGCAGCACAGTTCTTTCTTTTACAGGTTTACTGACATATAATCCATGTGCCAGACATTCAATGGTTTTAATATATTCAGGAGTTGTGCATTCATCACCATGGTCAATTCTAGAACTTTTTTCCATTCTTGTGTCCATTATCATTAGCTCCCCATTTCCCCCAACTGCCCCTGCCATAACCCTAAGGAATGATTAATCTAGTTACGATCTCTACAGATTTACCTAACGTAGATTTCACATAAAGAAAAATCATTCAAAAAAGATCCCAACAACAAACTACAGAAAAACCTCAATCCAAAAGAAAGCAGAAAGAGTGAAAACTAGATAGTTAAAAATGAGTCAAGGCGGCAAACAAGCGGTAGATGTTAAATTCTAATCTATCTGATAACTACAGATTACTGTCTGTAGTAATCCACTTTCCAGTACAGTCTGTCTGAGTATAAGACTATTCACATCTTCGGTCAATGGACTGATGGAATTCAATGGAGGCCTCATCTACATGGGCGCCCTGTACATGGATTTTTGGCTTTCACTGTTATCCACAGCCTTCTGCAAACTGGATGCTTAGATTTTCTAAGTTCTAAAATAATCCCTGCTCCTGATCATGGATTTTATTATTAATGATCCTTTAATCACAGTGATCTAGTGTGCTGACATTGCATTTAGATGGCTGCTTGCTTTAAGACAAGCCTTTACGACTCTAGACACTATTCTTTGAGAGCTGGGCCCCATGTGATTTCTTTAGCACACGTTGTTATAGCACCCAGATCTTCCATGACCCCTTTGTGAGAGGAAGTACTGAGCCAGGACCATCTTGGAGCACAGTTCTATTGTGCACACAAGGGGTCACCGTGAAACAACTCTGTGAGAACTGGTTTTGTTTTTTGGAACTATATGGCTATTGGTTATTGGGTTGCTGACTATGAGGTTGGAGGGTCAAACCTATCAGTTGCTTTAAGAGAAAGATGAGGCTGTCTGCTCCTCTGAAGATTTGCTGTCTTGGAAACTCTATTCAGGGTCCCTGTGAGTCAGAATCGACCTGATGGCAGTGGGTCTGGTTTTGATTTTGGGTATATGACTGTGGCTAACCCTTCTACTTTTGCCCACTCTTTCCAGGGCTGTAGATGACCATTGTACATGTACATGGTCACCAATGGAGACTCAACCATTCATACACACATACCCCAGAAGATCCCGGCTTGCACTGGCCGAAACAACCATCAGTAAAGATGGCATGGTGTGATGAGGACCTGGTGGGCAGGGGTTAACAAGGTGGAGGGACAGCCAGATCCGTCTGCTCCACAGCCCAACTGTGCTTGTTGGAGATTCAGAAAAACGATGCAAGTCCACTTGTTGGCCTGCTGTAGCCGGCTTAAGTGACGACTGCCCAGATCTCTTTGCTAGTGGCCCATGAGTCAGGTCACCCCAACACCCTGTAAACAGGATTCACCTGCAGCATTTTATTTTGTTTTTGCTCTTCTCTTACCAAACTAGAGACTAGACCCTAGAGATGGGCACCATGCTTGGTAGAGGGGCAGTGTGAGAGAGGAAGGCCCACGACCAGATGGATGGACACAGTGGCTGCAACAATGGGCTCAAGCATGGGAACCATTGTGAGGACGACGTGGAACCGGGCAGTGTCTCGTTCTCTTGTGCAGAGGGTAGCTACGGGTCAGAACCAGCTCAATGGCACCTAGCAACAACTTCTCAAACTTGGCTTTGCCTTTCATCTTTGAATCCCTCCACGTGAGCCCAGTGTGTAAAGTGACCAGCTGCCTCACTTGAGTGGCCCTTGGACAGTGTGTCTATTTGCAAATCCACACACACAGCACCCATGATTGACATGTGCCACTCACATGATCCTTAACATCCATTGCACTCAGACATACACGTACATCGCCTTTAACCACGCACACACGTGCACACACCGAAAGCAGGACCTTCAGACACAACTGCACCCTTGTGAAAACACAACAGCAGCAGGCGTGGCAGTGTCAGGCTCCCCACGAGCGGTGGGACCCACCCCAAGGTGGGGCCACGGGAACAAAGGAGTGTCTACTGTCATGTTTGCTCAGAGCCCTTCGGCAGACCGTGGGCCCTGGTTACCTTCTCCTTAAATGAAAAGAAAAGAAATAGATCTCTTCCAATGTCTTTATTATTATAATAATAATCATAATCTTCAATTTTCAAAAATATAAATAGGTGCACGGAACCCTGATGCCTGCACGGTTCTGGGGGAGGTGGGGAGGAGGCGGGCAGGTGGTGGTCTCACTGGGAAGGGGCTGCCCCCCACCCAGCCCTGCTGAGATAGACAGACACCTGCTGGGGTGGCGGACCGGGATGAGGGACCAAGGGTGAACCCAGGTCCCACACCGTGAAAGACCCCTCTGGGGCCCTCTGGGGTCTGTCCACCCTGGCCGGAACCCCACTGCCCTGCTCCCTGCCTGGCTCCGTCTTGTCCAATACATTCCCATCCCGAGAGGCTCTGAGCCCCTCCTTGGGCCTCCGCCAGCTCCTGCCAGCCCTCCTCCCTCCTCCTTGGCTCTCCCTGGAGACGAAAACCCATCGATTGCACTGCTCAAGTGGGTCAAGTCAGGAAATGAAAAATAATCTTCTTTATTTAACTCAGGCCTCCCCTGCTCCCTGGTCCCTGCACTGGTCCCTGGAAAGGCACAGGAGATTGAAGAAATGTCTCTAAACTCAGTCCTGGGGTTGTAGGAGTTTACTTTGGCTTTGGTGTTTGGTAGGGAGGGGAATAGATGCGTTTCTGGAGATTTTTTGGGGGGTGTGCACACTCAATGTGGGATTTCACTTTTCCTTCTTTAATGGAGTTCCTTATACGACAAAAAGTGACGAGAAGAAGACACCATCTGTGGACGGCACTGTCAGTTGAGCAGGGCTGCTAGGCTCAGTGTCCTGGGCATGCTCCCAGAAGCGGCTCTCAGTGGGCGGAGCTGGGCGGACTTCTCTGTCGATGCTTTGTGGTGGAGGCTTAGGGCAGAGAAAGGAGGATGGAGACGTATTTGGAACTGCTCTGCGCAGAACACGGGGTCCCTCCCCCACTCCCCCTCACGGGCGGCTCCCCTTTCTGCACAAGCCGCGGTCATGGGCTCATGAAGGCCGCCTGGAGCTTTCTGGACTGTCCCTGCTCCAGGGATTCAGGCTGGAGTGGGCAGGGAAGGAGATTCCCCATTTCCTAGCCTCTTCCAGCAGGTGAAGGGGAGCCCTTCCCTGGCCCAGGCACCCATGCTTCTTTGGGACAGGACTTGTGACCCGAAAGTCCCCTGACCTCACTGCCCTTCTCAACTTGGCAGCTGGTCCAGACCGCTGACCAGCAGGTGCTCTGGGGAGGGCGGGCATCGCCACGCGCTGGGGCAGAGAAGACCATTTTGGTGGGACCCAACCCTGACCCCAGTGAGGAATAGGAAGGGCGGTTCTCACGGTCTGTGCAGGTGATCCGAGGCACCTCCCAGTGCCCGCTGGGCTGGCACCGGATGGTGGGCACATGGCGCTGCACGAAGCCCTTGCTGCACTGGTACCGCACCAGCGAATTGATTTCATGTCGGCTCTTCTTCTGCCCCAAGGTTCTGGCATGTTCCACCACAGGGGGCTCTCCGCAGGCCACTAGGGGGCAAACACCTTTTAGAAAGCACTCTTGCCAAACACCCGGAGCGATGAGTCACTGGGCCTGCCATACATCCTGGATGAGTAATTACCGGGGGCATGGCCAGGGAGGTTTGGGGTGGGGTGGGGGGTGGGGGTGACAAGGGGAGCTAACAACAATGAGCGAGAGAAAGAAGAAAATGTTCTGAAAAGGACAGTGGTGACTGCGCGACTCTTCTTAATACCACTGAAGGATCACACTGCATGATGTGTGAGTCATTTGCCCACCCAGCTATAAAAAGGTTGGCATAGCACAGAGCACCAAGACAGTGTTCTACATCTTTCTGTGGTAAGTGCCATTTGGGTCTCATAGACCTCTAAGGCGTAAATGTTGCTCTTTCTTCATCCCCAGAGGGATGAAGAGTGAGGAAAACAGAAGACACGTGGAAACAATCAGCCCAATGGGCTAATGCATCACGAGGACATCAGTCTTTGCCCCGCGGATGCCAGAAGAACTAGATGGTGCCCCGCTACCACCATCAACTGCTCCGTAAAGGGTCACCTTAGAAGGTCCTGGGTAGAGGGGGACAAAAACATTGAAACAGAACTCACAGTCATCAAAGACACCAAGCTTGTTGGTCGGCTAGAGACAGGTGGGCCCCCAAGACTACAGCGCTTAGTGACCCTTCAGGTCTGGAACAGAACTCACTTCCAGGGCTCAATTTCAGCCAAACAATGAGAAGAAAAGCAGAGGAGTTCCATGGTGGCCCACTCTGGTGATGAGCTGGTGCTGCCACCTCTGGCTCCCCCCCACCAAAACCGTTTCATTGGGAGTTAATACAGACATATCATTCCATCATTCAATCACATCACGCAGTATTGTACAATGGCCACCACAATCAGTTTCAAAACATTATTTTCCTTCCTGAACTCCTTGGCATCAGCTCCCTTTTACATGCCTCCCCCCAACAACTGTACCCCCAGAAATCCTTCTTCTATTTGCTGTCCCTATAGGTTCATCAACCCTGGGTTTCATCTACTGAAAAACAAAAACATATAACACAAATTCAAGGGGGTGACCCCCAGTGATTTAATACATCCAAGACAAACCCCAATATGAACAAACAGAAAAACCACAGAAAATGTTGAAAACCAGATCAGGCCCAGTGTGCATCAAAGGGGGGATCAACTGACAAGGTTTGAACTGTTCAACTCCGGTTTACCATTTTGATCCCCCCCCCTTGTAACAAAAGACATTTTATTTATTTTAATATTGGTTACCTTCTTTTTAAATTTTGACCTTTTCTAGTCATCTCTCCAATACACTCTATCTGGTAGCCACTTTCCTCCCATCTCTCTACTTTGGATAGAGGGAACACCTCTGGCTTTGAGGTGACAGTCCAGAGCAGCATGCCCCAGCTGAGAGCAGTCATTTTAAGCCTGGGCCACTGTGGGCGTGGCCCCGGACTCCCACTCTCTGCGGCAAAGCCTGGCTCCTGGCCACCATATTCCTGTAGCACTAGGAAGCTGGAGACCATTGGCTATAACACTGGGTTCCTCTGAGCACCAGGAAGGGAATAATGAGGGAGTTCTTTTTTTTTTAGAACCTCTATACTTTTTTTTAATCGTTTTATTAGGGGCTCATACAACTCTTATCACAATCCATACATACATCAATTGTGTAAAGCACATTTGTACATTC